ATGCGTCCGCCACCACCCAGCACAATTGCGGCATTCACAACTGCATATGGTTGGGTCCTTCGCCAGGCTAATTTCATGGTTTCGTGCCCCTCCCATCCCTCCAGGGAGGTCCCGTCTCAACGAGGAGGGTATCGGAAACCCATACTATTTACCTGGTTGCGTGCCCCTCCCACCCCTCCATGGAGGCCCCGCCTGAGCGAGGAGGGTATCGGAAACCCATACTATTTACATGGTTTCGTGCCCTTCCCTCCCCTCCAGGGAGGCCGCGCCTGAGCGAGGATGGTATCGGACACCCATACTATTTTCATGGCCTCGTGCCCCTCCCACCCTCCAGGGGTGCCCCGTCTGAGCGAGGAGGGTATCGGAAACTTATACTGTTTACATGGTTTCGTGCCCCTCCCTCCCCTCCAGGGAGGCCCCGCCTGAGCGAGGAGTGCATAGAACGCCCATACTATTTACATGGTTTCGTGCCCTTCCCACCCCTTCAGGGAGGCCCCGCCTGAGCGAGGAGGGTATCGGAAACCCGTACTATTTACATTGTTTCGTGCCCCTCCCACCCCTCCAGGCAGGCCCCGCCTGAGCGAGGAGGGTATCGGAAACCCATACTATTTACATGGTTTCGTGCCCCTCCCACCCCTCCAGGGAGACACCGCCTGGGCGAGGAGGGCATCGGAAACCCATACTGTTTACATGATTTCGTGCCCCTCCCACCCCTCCAGGGAGGCCCCGCCCGAGCGAGGAAGGTATCGGAAACCGATACTGCTTACATGGTTTCGTGCCCCTCCCACCCCTCCAGGGACGCCCCACCTCTCCAGCTTCTCCTTGGTGTTGAGGCTGTCGTACCCCATGGGTCCCACGAAACCGTTCATACCTTTATGTGGGGAACTCCGTTAACATAATTGTCCCAGAACATCCTCTCCTTCTCCCTCCCGCCTCCTATATCAATACCATGCCTACTATTCCAGCCAACCATACAATGCCATACCAAACTACCCATACAATAACATACCATACATACCTTACCATACCATACCCGCCAGAGCGAGAAGGGTATCGGAGTACCAAACTATTTACTATGTTTCGTGCCTCTAGGCCTGCCTGAGCGAGCAGGGTATCGGAAGCCCATATTATTCACATGGTTTCGTGCCCCTCCCACCCCTCCAGGTAGGCCCCGCGTGAGCGAGGAGGGTATATAATGCCCATACTATTTACATGGTTTCGTGCTCCTTGCACCCATCCAGAGAGGCCCCGCCTGAGCGAGGAGGATATCGGAAGCCCATACTAATCACATGGTTTCGTGTCCCTCCCACCCCTGCATGGAGGCCCCGTCTGAGCGAGGAGTGCATAGACTGCCCATACTATTTACATGGTTTCGTGCCCTTCCCACCCCTTCAGGGAGGTCCCCTCTCAACGAGGAGGGTATCGGAAACCCATACTGTTTACATGGTTTCGTGCCCCTCCCACCCCTCCAGGGAGGCCCCGCCTGAGCGAGGAGTGGATCGGAAACCCATACTATGTACATGGTTTCGTGCCCCTCCCACCCCTCCAGGGAAGCCCAGTCTGAGCAAGGAGGGTATTGGAAACCCATACTACTTACATGGTTTCGTGCCCCTCCCTCCCCTCCAGGGAGGCCTCGCCTGAGCGAGGAGGGTATCGGAAACCCATACTATTTACATGGTTTCGTGCCCCTTCCACCCCTCCAGGGAGGCCCCGCCTGAGCGGGGAGGGTAACGGAAACCAGTACTATTTACATTGTGTCGTGCTCCTCCCACCCCTCCAGGTAGGCCCCGCCTGAGCGAGGAGGGTATCGGAAACCCATATTATTTACATGGTGTCGTGCCCCTCCCATCCCTCCAGGGAGGCCCCGCCTGAGCGAGGAGGGCATCGGACACCCATACTATTTACATGGTTTCGGACCTTGGACGAAACCACCCGCCCGCCCGACCCTCCTCCTTCTCATGTTCATGCTCCTGGTCATCCTCCCGCTGCTGCTCCTGCTGCGGTTCCTGCTGCTGCTCTTCACCAGCATCCATCTTATCGTCTTCCTCCTCCTCCTCCTCGTCCTCCTCCTCCTCCTCCTCCTCCTCCAGGAGGGTATCGGAAAACAATGCAGTTTACACGGTTTCGTGTCCCCCCTCCACTCCTCCAGAGAGGCCGCGCTTGAACGAGGAGGGTCGCGGAAAGCATTACTCTTTACCAGGTTTCGTAGCCCTCCCCCCTTTCCAGCGGGACCCCGCCAGAGCGAGGAGGGTATCAAGAAACCGTATTAGTTACAAGGCTTCGTTTCCTGAGCACCTGTCCTGCCTCCTCCTTTCTTTCGTCTGCCCTTTCGTGCGTACTTACTCGTTCGATGAGCTTCTCCTTCGTGTTGATGTTGTCGTACCCCATGGGTCCCACGAAACCGTTAATATCTTTATGTGGGGAATTCCGTCAGCATAATTGTTTTAATCTGTTGCCCAAAAATCCGCCTGCAGGGGGACACGCCCGACCTAAGCCCAGCTCGGCGAGGGCGCCCAGGCCCGGGCGCGCGGGCTGCGCGCCGCGCTCTTGTGCGACCCGCCCGCCTTCGAGCGCCTGCGGCGGGAGTGGCGCCAGTGCAGGCACTAGGGAGCCGCATGCGAACCCTACCCCTACCCCCCCACGATTTCTGAAGGGGAGGGTGGGGTTCACTTCGCTCGGGAGGTCCCGAACGAAGTGAACCCACCCTCCCCCTTAGAAATCGTGGGGGGTAGGGGTAGGGTTCGCATGTGGCCCCCTAGGCACGTCTGCGGGGGGCGCGCGGCCGCCTTCTGGAGCGGCTCCCTGGACACGGCCTCCGAGGCTTCCGTCGGGCCTATCCCCCTACAGGAGGAGTACAATCAAACATAGTCGGACATATTTTCTGACTATTTCTGAACAGTCGTCATTCGTCAAAGAATCGTCAAACAAATCGTCTGGGGACGAATTGTTTGAGTATGTTTTTTTTTTTTTTTTTTTAAATGGAAAAAGAAAAAGAAAAGACAAAAAACAAATATTGTTCCGATCATGTTCCAAAATCCGCCTGTAGGAGGACACGCCCGACGTGATCCGAGGCGCACGCGTCCCGCGTGGCGCGCCTCAGCCGGCTGCGCGGTGGCCGCACCGGCCTCTCCCTGGAGCTGCCAGAAGCGTGGCTGCCGAGGATCGGAGGAGGAAAAGGTACTCGGGGTTTCTTAATATGCGCGGGGGGGTACCCCTCCGACGGGGATCAACCTCACCTCGTCGTCGCGCCGCGACGGGGGTCGGAGCGCCTTTGGCGCGCGGTGGCTGCCCGCGACGGGGGTCGATGTGGGGCTGTCGGCGGGGGTGACGCCCCCTCGACGCTTATTACGAAACTCGGAGTACCCACGCGGCAATGAGAGGGAAGCAGCGATTAGACACTCCCTTTTTTTCCTTCAAATTCAAGGTTGGCACGGCGCCCCGAAGACTGCGGTCGAAGTTCAATTCATCAGACCCACCGCCAACTTTGAACATTGGGGGGGCGGGGAGGCCTTGACCGATGAAGGTGGCATGAGTGTTGGCAAGTCTTGTCCGAGGCTTGTACCCCCAACCTCCCCTCGCGTTCCCCTTTTGGGGCCTCCCGGGTGGCCCTCGTCGCCACCGTGGGGTTCGCCCCGGAATTCTGGTCGGGTCGCACCCCGGGAGAGGTCCGGGGAGTGGCGGCAGCGGCACCGCTCGGCTTCCCCAGAGGAGCCACATCGAGGGCCAGGCGGACCTTCGCCTGTCTCGGCGGCGAGCGAGGGGTGTGGGGGTGAGAAGGATTGTGGAGGACGATCAATGGAGAGGAAGCATGTTGCCAAAGAATTTCCAAATGTCTAACACATACGTTGAACATGCTTGAAACAGGTAAAGCATGCTTAAACCATTTTTTAGAACATTCTCCTGCATTTCAAACACACTTTAAAGTCAAGGATAGGACTGTTAGGGTGTCCATTGTCGTGGCATCCACAAGAGTAGGAGAAAGAGAAGTCCCTTACGGAAGGCGGCGGGATTTCTCAGAAGCCTTCTGCCTTCTGCCTTCTGAGAGGTTTCCTGCGTCTTCGGGGAAGGCTTGGAGCACTTCTCAGAGGGCCGGGGGCATCTGGAGGCGGTGGTGCGACGCTCGAGCGCTGTCCGTTGGCGGCAGCGCATCGCCCAGCCCTTGTCGCCGGCACCAGCACCTTGGGATCCGTGCGATGCAAGACGCAAGCTGTGAGTTCACATGTCAGGCAAACGCAGCATGTGGAATCACACCTTGGAAAAAGACACAACATGTGAGTTCACATTCTGAGAAGGCCCCCTCGTTCTCACTTCCCCCCGGCTCGCCGCCGACCGTCGGGCTCCGCCCGGCAGGCGCCGCCGGGCGCTCCGGAGGAGCCCCTCTCGGCGGTGCGGCCGGGCACGCACTGGCACGAGTTCTGCCAGCTCTTCGGCGCCGTGGAGCGGGTGGAGTGCGCCGCGGCGGGCGGCGCGCGCGAGAGGCGCGTCGTCACCCTGCTGGCACGCTTCTGCCAGCCCGAGGGCGCACAGAACATGTACGAGGCGCTCGCAGACAGATACCTTTTCCGCCCATGGGACAAGGAGACGGACGAGGGCGATGCCGAGGAGTGCTTCCAGGTCACGTGTGCCCTGAAGCACTATCCAGCTGCCTGCGGCAAAGCCCCCGCCACCACGCCGGCGCAGCAGCGCAGCACGACGAAAGAAAGGGTTTCAGAACCGCTTCCAGCTCGATGCTCCAAACTGGCTCGGGTCGTAACGACCCCCTTCGTGTCTTGAGCTTCACTTTTTCACCTCCTCCAGGACTCTTGGTCAAGGGCAGGTCAGTCTTGCAGAGGTCGCGTGATTTGCCGTGCCTGCGCGGGCAGACGCCTTGGCACAGGCCTGCGCAGCTGGCGCAGGCCGCGCCGCGTGGAATCGAGGTCGGTGCCACACGGCAGGGTGTGCAATTGTGGTGTGGCGTGCCTTCTTCTCCTCACCTTGCGAGCCAAGGTGCCCCCCCCCGCCCACCCCATGGGGAGCCTGATCTAAGGCCCAAATGCCAGGGGCCGCATGGCGGTCCCGGCTCGTGTTGGCACACCCCTCGCGCGCTTCGCGTCCCCACAGGGAGCTCCAACTAGAGCCCAAATGCCAGGGTTCGCATGGCGGCCCCGCCCCATTTCGGCAAACGTGTGGCACACCCCTCGCACGCTTCGTGGCCCCAGGGGGAGCTCCACCGAAATACCCAGTGGCAGAGTTCGCATGACGGCCCCGCCTCATCCTGGCGCACCCCTCACGCGTCCCGCGGCCCCAAATAGGGAGCTCCAATTGAGGCTCAAGTGCAACTCCTCCTTCTCGTCGTCGTCCTCCTCCTCCTCCTTCTCCTCCTCCTCCTTCTCCTCCTCCTCCTCCTCCTCTTCCCCTCTCCTCCTCCTCCTCCTCCTCCTCTCCTCCTCCTCCTCCTCTCCTCCTCCTCCTCGTTCCTTCCTCGCTCTCATCCTCATCGTCCTCCTCGTCGTCCTCCTCCTCCTCGTTCTCCTTCTCCTCCTCCTCCTCCTCCTCTCCTCCTCCTCCTCCTCCTCCTCCTCCTCTCCTCCTCCTCCTCCCTCTCCTCCTCCTCCTCCTCTCCTCCTCCTCCTACTCCTCCTCCTCCTCCTCATCCTCATCCTCCTCCTCGTTGTCCTCCTCCTCCTCCCCTCTCCTCCTTCTCCTCCCTCCTCCTCCTCCTCCTCCTCCTCCTCCTCCTCCTCCTCCTCCTCCTCCTCCTCCTCCTCCTCCTCCTCCCCCTCCTTCCTCCCACTGAGGCCCAATTGCCAAGGGCTCGCAGCGCGGCCCCGTCTTCTGCGGGCACACCCCCTCGCACGCTCCGCGGAGCCCCACACACACAGGGAGGGCTCCACCGCAGGCCCCACAGTGGCAGGGCGACCCCGTCCCACATGGGCAAAAACCCGATCGCACGCTCCGTGGCTTCCTCGGGAGGAGGGAGGAGGGAGGAGGGAGGAGGGAGGAGGAGGAGGAGGAGGAGGAGGAGGAGGAGGAGGAGGAGGAGGAGGAGGAGGAGGAGGAGAACGAAGACGAGGACGAGGACGAGGACGAGGAGGAGGAGGAGGAGGAGGAAAGGGAGGAGAAGGAGGAGGAAGATGAGGAGGAGGAAACGAACGCGGCACAGTCACCCCGCATAGTCAGAACGGGCAACCTTCGCGTTGTGTAAAAATCACGACGGGAGGTTTTGTCACTGTTTTCGGCCTCCGGGGGCCCTTGCCAGGCCACGGGACCAGCAAGCAATGACGCAGGATGAAACACCGGTCCTGGGGAAGAGGTCGAGACCTTTGGGGGTCGACGTTGTGAAGAAATCACGACGTCGGGAGTCTGGGATATGGCTTAGATGCAGTCGACCCGCATCCGCATGGTCACGGTGGGCAACTTTCCCAAGGGTACCCTGGCATCCTTGCCTCCTCGGTCCAGCCTTTGCCACTTTCGTTGGCCAGCCACTCTCGTGACGATCGCAGGTTCGGTTTCCCCTCGGTCTGGGTGAGGGGCTGCGGCTCGCAGGCCAGAGGGATTTATTTTGCACCTGCTCCATGAGGTCGTGCTTTTCCCCTCGGCGAGCCCCGGCCGAAAAGCTTCGGAGTGGGCGTCCAGGGCCCTTACATCCTTATCGCGAGTCCTTCTGAGACGGGCCGGGTGTATGCAGAATGCGGTATTCATAATTGTAGATGTTAGATGTTCAGGTCCTTCGCCAGGATAGTTGCTTGCCAGGTACGGCGGGGGGGTGTTGGCGTTGTCCCGGGTTTGTCGACAGTCGGATTAGGGAGGGGGTGTCTTTCATTCAGGAACAGTGGTGTACCCGTCCCAGAAGAGGGCTGGAAGAGGAAATTTGGCAAGCCACCTCCGCACAGAGGGCTGGTTGGGTTTCAGGGACAATAGTTTTGGTATGACACTCTGGGGTCGGGGAGATTTTCCCACATCGGCCTCGTAGAACCACGGAAGCTTCTCCAGAAGGCCAAGCAGCACTCCACACTCCAGTCCCAGACATGTGACGTTTAGATTTTTCCAATTGGCTGTCCCCAGAATTACCGCTCTTTCCCCAGGGCCAGCTTCTCATCCCGAGTCGATGTTTGACGGTCCCGAGGCCCTGCGAGGGCCCCGACAGGCCGGAAACGGCGAGAAACCTCTCCCGCCCTGACCTGCGCCGCGACGCGAGCATGTCTGGGATCCCGCCGTCGTGCAAGCGCGGTGGCGGATGACCTGGCCCGGGCGCTGCTGCTGCGAGGGGAGCCCGTGCTCGACTCGGAGGTGGCCTTCGTGCTCCGCCGCGCCGGGGGCGCCGCGCCGGAGGTCACCACCCACCAAACCACCCCAACCCAACCCGAAGGCCCAAATTTATCCTCGATTTCCAGTGGGGGGGGGGTCGGGGAACATTGAAAAAACACATGGAATCCGTACCCCCCCCCAACCCGAAATTGGGGTCAAATTCGGGTCTTCGGGTTGAGTTGGGGTGGTTTGGTAGGTAGTCAGGAGGCCGCCGGCGGGCCGGGCGCGCCGGGGGAGGTGCTGCTCACCAGTAGCAGGCCGCAGCTGGTGCTGGGCAGAGAGCCCGGCGAGGGCGTGGACGTGGTCGTCGGAGGAGGAAGAGATGGTACCCATACCATTACCACATGGTTCTTGTCTAACTTTAACAGAACGGTATAAAATTAACATTTTCGCCGTCGGGGACACCTGCCCCAGGGCGGCTGGAAAGTTTATACCCTTACGGTGGCACCGTAGGGTATAAACTTTCCAGCCGCCCTGGGGCAGGTGTCCCCCACGGCGAAACATGTATTTCATACCGTTTTTCGCCCGCTGATAACTATTCGGAAGTTATTTGATTTTTTGTTGTGCCAATATTATGTCATGTCTAATTGTTCTATACTGGGCCTCTTCCTGGCCACTAGGGGGTCTGGAACAACAAGAAAGGAGCACACTTAGAAATGAGCACGATTAGAAATGATAGACGTGTACCGTGGCCTCGGCTCCTCCTTTTTCTTCGATCACAATCGGTCGGGTGAGATCCCAACGGGACGGGTCAGATCACAACCGCCAAGAACAGCTGGGACGGGCGAGATCCCAACCGCTCCAGGGGAATCCTTCGGGCATCTGAGAGCCTCTGAGGGCCCAGATTCTGAAAGATTCTGAGAGCTTTTGAGAGCTTCTGAGCCGTCAGAAAGCTTCCGAGAGCTTCTGAGAAACTCTTAGAGATGCCGAGAGTTTCTGAGTGATTCTGAAACATTATGAGAGCTTCTGTCAGTTTCTGAGAGCTTCTGATGATTCTGAAAGATTCTGAGAGCTTCTGAGAGCTTCTGAAAATTATTCAGAGAGCTATTCTGAAACATTCTGGAGAACTTCTGAGAGTTTCGTAGAGCTTCTGGGAGCTTCTGAGAGCTTCTGAAAGCGTCCGCGAGCCTCTTACAGTTTCTGCGAGCTTCTGAGAGCTTCTGCGAGCTTCTGCGAGCTTCTGCGAGTTTCTGAGAGCTTCTGAGAGCTACTTAGAGCTTATGTAAGATCCTTGAGGGCTTCTGAGAGCTTCTCAGAACTTCGGAGAGTTTCTGAGAGGCTCTGAGAGTTTGCTTCTGAGAGATTCTGAAAGCCTTCTGAGAGCATCTGAGAGCCTCTGAGAGCCTCTGCGAGCTTCTGAGTGCTTCCGAAGGCTTCTGGGAGCTTCTGGGAGCTTCTGAGAGATTCTGAGAGTCCCTGAAAGATTCTGATAGCTTCTGAGAGTTTCAGAAAGATTCTGATGGTTCCTGAGAGATTCTGAGAGCTCCCGAGCGATTCTGAGAGATTCTGAGAGCCTCTTAGAGTTTCTGAGAGATTCTGAGAACTTCTGAGAGATTCTGAGAGATTCTGAGAGCTTCCGAGAGATTCTGAAGTATTTTGAGAGATTATGAACAATTCTTGAGGGTTTCTGAGAGCTTCTGGGAGCTTATTGGGGATTATGAAAGATCTTTGGGAGCTTCTGAGAGCTGCTGGGAACTTCTGAGATCATCTAAGGGTTTCTGAGATATTATGAAAAATTACCCGAACTTCTGAGTTACCCGAAGAGATTCTGAAAGCTTCTGAGGGACTCTGAAAGATCCCACAAGATCCTGGAAAGTTGTGAGAGTCTTTGAGAGATGATGAGAGTTCCTTACAGCTTCTGGAGGTTTCCGAGAGCTTCTGGGAGCTTCAAACAGATACTGAGAGTTTCTGAGGGTATCTTAGAGTTTCTTGGGGCTTGTGAATTTTTGAAAGCTTCTGAGAGGTTCCGCAAGCTTCTGAGAGCTTCCGAGATCTCATGAGAACGTTTTTTTTGTTTTTTGTTGAAACAGTGAGGAGCCTTTGAGCTATTCCGAGAGCCTTTGGGAGCCGCTGGGAGATCCGGAGATTATTTCTTTCGTATTCGTATTCGTACCACTACCACGATTACGACGACGACGACGACGACGACGACGACGACGACGACGACGACGACGACTACTACTAGTACTACTACTACTACTACTACTACTACTACTACTGCTACTACTACTACTACTACTACCATTACTACTACTACTACTACTACTACTACTACTACTACTACTGCTACTACTACTACTACTACTCCTGCAAGTGGTACTGCTACTCATACTTTTAATACGAATCCGACTTCTACAGTTTCCCGGGTGGTCACTGGTTACGACGTACAATTAATTTTTTCTTTACGTAGCACGTATGATGGATTGGTTTTTATCATTATTACTACTACTACTACTACGAGTACTACTACCACTACTACTACTACTACTATTATTACTACTACTACTACTACTTTTACGACTACTGTTACTATTGTTACGACTATTGCGAGTACTTTTACTATTATTGCGATGACTACTATTTTTTCGCTGCGAAGCCGTTTTCCTCTTCTATTACTACTACTACTACTACTACTGTTACTACTACTACTACTACTACTACTACTACTACTACTACTACTACTACCACAACTACTACTACTACTACTACTACTACTACTACGACTACTACTACTACTAATGATACGACTACTAGTGCGACTACAACTGCTACGAGTATGATTACTAGTGCAACGACTGTTTCTATACGTACTGCGACTACGATTACCATGAATAGTATTACTAGTACCACTACTGCTACTACTACTATTACCACCACTAATAGTCCCACTGGCACGATTATTAGTTTTACTGCTATTACTATTATGTTTACGACAACGAAAGCTATTACTACTACGACTAGTATTACTACTACTACTACTACTACTACTACTACTACTATTACGATTACTACTACTACTACTACTGCGATTATTACGACTACCACTGCTACTACTACTACTACTACTACTACTACTACTATTACTATTACTACTACTAGTATTACTAGTATTACTAGTATTACTACTACTACTACTACTACTACTACTACTACGACCACTACTACTACTACTACTACTACTACTACTACTACTACTACTACTACTACTACTACTACTACTACTACTACTACTACCACCACTACTACTACTACTACTACTACTACTACTACTACTATTACTACGTCTACTACTACTACTACTACTACTGCCACTACTACAACGACGACTGCTACTACTACCGACTTACCTTGTACAAATTCCTATTTGCGATCTATTACTTAGTACGTACAACATACTCCTTGGCATTTGTCCCTGCTACTACGACTCCGCCGCGACCCCTTCGTAATCCCAGATGACCTCTTCAGGGATCGTTGGGGATCCTTGGGGGTCCTCCAGGTTCCTTAGGCTGACTCACTAGGAATCCTTAGCAATATGTCGGGAATCTCTTCGGATCTTTAGGGGTCTCTCCGGATTCCTTTGGAATCTGTCGAAATCTTTTACCTATACGACCACCCTTCGGGTGATAAGGAGCTTCGGGGGGGGAGGAACCAACGTCTCACTCGATCGGTTTCACTATCGATCTCATTATCGAAATCACGATCGGTCTCGCTCGATCGATCTCACCCGGACGATCTCACAATCGATTTCACTCGATTTATTTCATTCGACCGATCTCACAATCGATTTGACTATCGACCTCACGGTCGATCCCACTATCGATCGCACCATCGATCTCACATTCGGTTTCACTATCGATACCACAAGCAATATCACAATCAACGCCACCAACATCATCCGCATCATCGTCTTCAACGTCATCAACAACATCATCATCACCGGGACACCACTTCCATCATCATCATCATCATTTCATCACCGTCACCATCAACATCATCATCAGCATCATCACCATCATCATCGGGGCACCATCATCGTCACCATCATCATCATTTACATCATCATTATCGGGCCACCGTCACCATCACTACCGGAACACCACCGTCATCATCATCAACGTCATCATCGTAAACAACATCGGCAGCATCATCATTTTTGGGACACCATAATCATCATCAGCAACATCATCATCAACATCAGCATCATGGGGACACCCTCATCATCGTCATCATCGTCATCAACATCATCACCGGGGCACCACCATCGTCATCATCATCAGCATCATCATCATCGGGACACCATCATCTTCATTACCATCATCATCCCAACAGCATCACCACCAACACCATCACCATCATCATCGGGACACCACCATCAGCATCATCTTCACCACCATCATCAGCGCTATCATATCATCATTCCATCATCATCAACACCATCATGCGCATCAACATCACCATCATCGGGACACCATCTTCACCACCATCATCATCATCATCATCTTCAACATCATCGACATCGCCATCATCATCATCAGGACACCGACGGGACACCGGCGGAACACCGCTCGGCACCGCCCCCGGAAAGGAAACATTTGGTCCGGCCGCGCCTCAGCCGAAGGCGGGACACCGGCGGGACACCGCGCAGCACCGGCCCCCGGAAAGGAAACATGTGGTCCGGCCGCGCCTCAGCCGGAGGAGACTTTCTTCTCGCCCGCCCACGAATCTTGACTTCGCCCGCACGCAATGCACGCACGAACACGAAACCGAAACTGATTTCCGGGTAGCGGGGCTCTTCGTTCTTTTTCGATCTCACCCCTTTCGCTTCCGATAAACCATAGAAATCTTAAGGGACCCTTGAAAGAAGGTTGGGATCCTCAGGGATCCGTCGGAACCTTGAAGCATCCTTAGGCATCCGTCCGAATCCTGAGGAACCCTTGGGGTTCCTCAGGGATCCATAGGAATCAATCGGAATATGTATGCATCCCCGGGGATCCTTAGGGACAATTAGGAATCCTCAGGGACCCATCGGAGGGAATCCTGCTGAATCTTCAGCTCCCCCCCTCTTCTGGGAATCCATGCGGAAAACCATAGGGAAACCTAGGGGTCTTGAGGAATCCCAGCGAATCCTTAGGGATCCTTCGGACCCATGGGAATCCCAAGGAATTCCTGGGAATGCCGGGGCTCCCTGGGAATTGTTAGCAGTCCTTATGGAGTCCATAAGAATCCTTGGGGATCTTGGCGAATGCATCGGAATCTTGTTGAATAATTAGAGAAGCCCAGAATATCTTCAGAGACCCTTGAGGCATTCTTAGGTATCCTTATCACTGCGACTTCCACTACTACTACGACTACTACGTCTACGACGGCTACCACTACTACCACCACTACTACTACTATTACTACGACTACGACTACTACTACTACTACTACTACTACTACTACTACTACTACTACTACTGCTGCTGCTGCTGCTACTACTACTACTACTACTACAAACTACCACTATTACCACTATTACTACTACTACTACTACTACTACTACTACTACTACTACTACTACTATTACTACTACTACTACTACTACTACTACTACTACTATTACTATTAGTACCACTACGACTACTATTACTTTTAGTACGACTTCTATCACTGTTACTACTACTTGTATTACTACTACTACTACTACGACTACTACTACTACTACTACTACTACTACTACTACGACTACGACTACTACTGCTACTGCTACTACTACTACTACTACTCCGAATACTACGACGATTACTACTACTACTACTACTTCTACTACTACTACTACTACTACTACTACTACTACTACTACTACTACTACTGCCACTACTACTACTTCTAATGTTGCTACTATTGCTAGTTCTTCGACTCTTTTTATTACTGCGACGACGCTTACGAGTACTACTAATACTATTGGCACTACTAGTACTAGTACTACCACTGCTACTACTACTACTACTACTTCTACTACTACTTCTTTTACTACCACGAGTATTACACATGTGACTACTATTACTACCCGTACTACTACTACTACTACTACTACTACTACTACTACTATTACTACTACTACTACTACTAAACCTGCTGCTGCTACTACTACTTCTACTGCCGCTGCAATGGTTACTGCTACTACCACGATTACTATTGTTTTCAGTACTACTACTATTACCGCCACTGCTACTGCTCGTGTGCTTATTTCTACTACTACGACTACGATTACAACTACATCTGCGACTACTACGGCTGCTACTAGTAGTACTTCTAGTACTACCAATTCCACGATTAGGAATATTGTCAATCATTTCAAACATATTATCACTACGACTGCGCGTACTGCGACCACCACGGCTACTTCGACGACTCCTACTACTACGACGACCACGATTACTCACACTTCCTCTATTTTTATTATTACAACGACCACCTATTACTACTACTACGACTACTACTTCTACTACTACTACGACTACTTCTACTCCTACTACGACTACTGTTACGACGAGTACGACGACTACGATTACAACTACGAATATTACGACTGCGACTACTACTACTACTACTACTACTACTACTACTACTATTACTACTACTACTACTACTACTGCGACTACTACTACTACTACTACTAATATACACATTTATATCTATTCACAATGAATCTATTATTATCAAGATTATTACGACTACTACGACTACTACGGCGACGACTAATTTTTTACTACGACGACGACGATTACCATTATTACGCCTACTACTATTAGTACTACCGCTACTATTACTTCTACGACTACTAATATTATTGTTACTATTACTGCTACTGCTACTGCTACTACTCGTACTACTACTACTACTACTACTACTACTACTACTACTACTACTACGACTACTACTACTACTACTACTACTACTACTACGACTACTACTACTACTACTACGATCGAGTAGAGTGCCTAACCGCTAAAGCTCACGCGTACATTCGCTCCTCTAAGGTTTCCAGTGCGGCTTCAGTTCGCAATCAACAACAGTTTTAATGTTTGAATTTGTTTTCTTTATTTGCTTCCTCCTCGGTTGGGATCTGACCGTGCCTGGGGCTTTGGACGGTTGGGATTTCACCCGTCTGGTTTTGGTCTCACCCGACCGGTTGTGATCTCGACCCATCGCGCCTTTGGGGTGGCCCTCGAAGCCGATCTGCCCTCATCGAAGCCACTGCTGGATTCGCCCCACAAATTTTGGTGAGAACAATCCCTGGGAGAGTTCCGGAGAGTAGCAAGTAACGGTATCGGTGCCTTGCGGTTTTCCTAATAGGCCTTGCGCCGGGCGCACGTCTCCAAGGCGCACGCCGCGCTGTCGCTCCAGGGGCACGGCGGGGAGCTGGCCGCCTTGCTGCAGGACACGTCGTCCAACGGCACCTGGGTGAACGGCGCCAGGCCTGCTGGCTGGAAACAGATCCGTATCCCTACGAGGAGGAGGAGGAGGAGGAGGAGGAGGAGGAGGAGGAGGAGGAGGAGGAGGAGGAGCTTCCTATGTGGGGCCGCGGAGCGTGCGGGTGTGTGTGTGCCAACGGGAGGCGGGGCCGCCCTGTGAGCCCTGGCATTTGGGCTTCAGTTGGGGAACGAACAGTGACGTAACCATAAACACTCTGAGGTCCGCGCAGATTTCTCGCATCCGCGTTGGAGCGCCGATCCGTGAAATCCGCGCGGACCTCCGAGTTTTCATGTCTATGACATTGATTATTCCCCGAATATCAGTATCCCTACGTTTGGCACCACCTCACCTCGATGCCAATCCCTTGAGCTTCTGAGGGCACATCTTGGGGTCACACCGCCTTGGCGTCACCTCAGAATTGCCCTGACATCCGCCGATCTGATTGTTCGGCTTACGCCGCACCGCCGATCCCTTGGGGAGCTCCTGGTTGGTCTCCCGGGGGCCTCCTGGGAGGCCGTTTTGGATCCTCTTGGGGCTTCGTTTGGGCCCCTGGTGGGCCACTTGGAACCTCTTGGGGGCTTTGGGGGGGCCTCTTGGGGCCTCCTGGAGGCTTCTTGGGTCCAGGGGCTGGACATTTCCGTTCGGGTCGCCCGCCTGGGCCCCCTCCTGGAGCCGCTTTGGGAGCATATTGGGCCATCTTGGGGTCTTACTGGGCCGTTGGAGCCTTCTTGGGGGTTTCCTGGGCCGTTTTGGGGCGATCTTGGTGGCCTCTGGGCCGTCCTGTACGTTGTGAAAGACCAAAAGGCGAATGTGTTAAAATCGCACGCTTCCCTGAGTTTTTTTTTGCGCGGACCGTGCCGTGACTCTAAAATGAGCTGGGCGTTGCATGGGAGTGGGAACGAGCGTGCATCCGCGGCTGCTTGGCTTAAAGCGGCCCGCCGCCCAGATCTGATTACACCTCAGCGCGAGGTGTACCATTTGCCATCGATATCAAATCTGCTTGAGGTGGCTCGCCCCCTACTACTGGGACTATCGCTACTACGGTACAACAGAGCGGGGGCTGGGCTTCGCCTAAGGCGAAATTCCTGGTTGGGCCTCCCAGCCCCCTTCAAAATTGGTAGCGGGGCTGGCCTATGGTGGTCAGCTCTAGTTCAACTCCTCACCATCCACGGCACTATCTGGTGGACTACTGACGTGGTGGAAAATCAGGGTGCAGTGGGTCTGCGCGGAGGAATGTATACAACTACGCAGCAGAGCGAGGGAACTTGCAATGACACATCTGCCTACGCAGAGGCTTCTCACTTGCGTCCTACATCCCTGCGCTACTACACTCCTGAAATCCACCTGCCTACTCCAATTGGAAGCCTCTTCGAAGACATAATGCATGGAAAAATTCGATACGACACTGCGCCGCCTCCACCCCCACGCAGGCTGACGACCACATCAAGAACCCCAACCGACTACATCCGACCACGACCTGCGAGGCCATTGGATTGGCATTACTATCTTTGGGCTCACATGGGTCGCTATCGGGTGCGCGGTAGGACATATGCGTGGCGGAGACGACACAAGAACGACCGGCCCCCATTGGGACCCGTCCGGTCAAGTACCTTTCCGCGAATTCGTCCGCGAGGTACGTGCCTGGATCAACGTGACCACAGGCAACATGACGCCCTGCCAACAGGCTGCAGCCTTGCAGCGAGGCTTGGGGGGCCTCGCGCGGACCATAGCCATGAGAGTTCCCCAGCAATGATCAATTTTGGTGTTAACGTGCGCGGCCGCCATACCGACGGCGTCACCTACAGCACGCTCCTCTTAAGCGCGAACTTCTTGAATCTGGAAGAGGAACGCCAACTCAACTCTGGTACAGCTCTCATTGACTTCCGAGCCCATGCGGGAGAACGGATCGACAAGTTTTTGGCGCGCTTCGAGATAGCCCGCTACGAAGCTGAAAGGGCAGGATTTAACACCCCCAACTTCCAAATTATAACAATTATTTTGTTCAGGGCCCTTGGGGTGGGGACATCGCGTGCGCGGCAACTCCTGCAGCCACTAAACCACCGCATGCCGAGGGGCCAGCAACAGTCTGACTCTCTACTTGAACGCATGAGGTCATATGCGCACATTGCCGAGGGGACCCCTGGCAATATTGGTGGCGTTTTCAGTCACGGCGTCCGGAATGGCGATCCGCAACCAACTGAGACCACTACGCTAACTTTAAGGGTAGCTCTTTGGGAGATGTTATATAGAATCGGGAGTATAGCTCGCGCGCCGATGCCTTTGGCTCAAGGCACGCGCGACCTATTTGCCCGGACACCGCGAGTGTTCGCTATGTGCTGGAAAGATCATTACATCGATCTTATCCTATCTTATCCGTCCATTCCTCTTACTGAACAGCCTCAGTACGATGCCGGACGCTATTTGCCATCCGATTCCCATGGAATCGGATGCTAATTGACTTACCATAGTCACTTTCGACTTGGTAGCGGAGCTGGCCGCACTCTCGCGCGGTCAGCTCTTGCTCTTCTTATCCTCACGCTACACGGCGCGATCTTCGTGACCAACTACCACCCTGCGCCACCACTCCCAGTGCATTTACGAGGATCTATCCAAGAGCAAGAAGCAACGCGAGAGGCACGACGTCTAGACAACAACATTGGTACCATATACGCTTCATCACTGCGCTACTACCAACCGCTCGGCAACGAGCCAAAAGCGCAGCACTTGAAGCAGAGGCGGGGAGACCCGCGAGATAAAGCGCCTCGGAGACTTGACAAGGCGCTACCCCAGCGCGGCAACGCGCCGAATCACCACCCATATCTTCGCAGCCTTGGGCTGGTTATATTCGCCATCATATGGTTCGCGCTGGGGGCAGCAATCGGACACATGCGTCGTGGAGAGAACAGCGCCGATGGGCAAACACATGGCCCATGCTGGGGCCCTCAAGGCAACGTGCCTTTCCGCGAGTACGTTTATGAGGTCAACGCGTGGCTCAACGTCACAAGCGGGCGCATGACGCCACGGGCCCAAGCGGCCGCCATGCAACGCGGCCTGGGTGGCCTAGCGAGGACACTCGCCATGAGGGTGCCACCTGACATTATAAACTACGGCGCTGACATCGATGGGGTCCACGCCGACCCAGTGACCTACATCATGTTCCACCTAAGCATGAAGTTCGAGCGCCTGGAAGATGAGCGCCAGCTCACTTCTGGCACACAGCTCGTCGACTTTCATGTGCCTCACGGAGAACGAATCGACGTCGCCCTTGCCCGATTCGAAATGGCCCGACTTGAAGCGCAGTCGGTGGGATTTGACTTTCCCAACTTCTACTAACTACGATCCTAGGCGTCGGCAACCAGCGACCCATGCAACTCTCACAACCACTCAACCACCAAATGCCCCGAACACAACAACAGTATGATGAGCTGCTGGAAAGGATGCGTTCGATGGGTCACTTATCAGAACGGTCTCCTGGCAATATAGGGTCAGTGTTTGGAAGGGGAAGGGGATCTGGTAGTGGGAATTTCTACACAACCTTAACCACTGAAGCCCAGCCTGGAAACGGGCCCTCAAGCATATGGGCCGACGATCCTGGAGAATCCACTGCTCTACTAGCAGGGGATCGATCACAACCAAGCTGGGCAACCAGCCCTCCTTCAGAGAACCTCAACCACACCGTTCCCTATGGGGTGAATCAAACCCCCTAACCGACGGTGTATCCACCTACCTGGGAGATGACGATTTCGACTCCGGCACCGACACAGATACTGTATCATCAGACGGTGTTGAAGCTTTAGATTGGTCAGATATCATGAATATGGAAAATGATAATCAGCGCGCTGAACACTTGTTTTGGTTACTGCAACAGGCAAAACGGAGGTGGAGGAGGTTCGCGCGAAAACCAGTGCGTCGTGTTAGGAGGAGGATACGGAGGAGCTTCAAAGGAAAAGGTAAAGGGCAAACGGGGTCGTCGTAGGTTGAATGGACGAGGCATCGCGGCCTTCTTCCAGAAGCTTTCAGATGAACAGTATGATGAGATATTCTTCGGGGGAAAAGGCCATGGCAAAGGCCGTAGAGACACCTCAGGCAAAGGTAAAGGTAGGAGAAACCCGCGAGGTAGAGACGGCCAGATCCTAAAGTGCCATGAGTGTGATAGTACCGACCATCTTGTGAGAGATTGTCCAGCGAAGGGAAATGGAAAGGGCAGATCGACCGAAATCCATTTTGGCTCAAGTGAACCATTTATTGAATATCTGAGCCTCTAGGATTTTGAGGCCATGGAACAGATATTCTACACTTGGCTTAGCTGCATGGACAACGTCGGCGCGCTCGAGGTGCATGGCCGTGGACTGTACGCATGCTACCTCGAGTACGTCCGCAGGTTCGTTGTCGGCAACAACGAGCTCACTCCCGTGGATCAAGGAACGCTGGGAAACCAGCCTTTATCTTTCTTCGACTGGATGTTCGGGAACCCAGGCAACATCATGGCCTACGAGAGCAGTGACGAGGACGTCACTGTAGAGGCCTCGCCTTCAGAGGTTGACCGCAACCTCCAACCTCCACCCGACCTCATGCCTGGAAACAGGCCTACCTATCCTCGAAATCACGCCGAACTTATAGAAATGGAGTCTCAAGCGTTCGTTGCGGGCGTACCAGGGGACGCATTTATACCCCCTGGTTCGCTTGTTCCAGGCGAGTACGGACCACGCACACTACTGCAAACCCTCATGAGGATGCACGAGATATTAACCATAGCATATCCCGAGAGTCAAGAAAGCATCGAAGCTGGTAACATGATGCTGCAGGACACTGACGCCTGCGACGACTCGGAGTTCGTGTTGGCAGCCTTGACTCTTATTGACAGCGTGCACCCTGAGGACGTGCAGAGGCATGTGTGGTACTCCAGAGGGAGATGGCGCGAGGCCCTTGAAAGGGCCATCGCCATGCGCGGCCAGGCTCTTCCTCCGCCAGGATGGGGTCTCCAGGAGGCGGGACTATGGCC